AATCTTTATTACCTCTTGTCAGTTACATCCACACTAATTGCTTGCCCATTGTATTGTATTGCAGTGCAATATTATGAATAAATATTTGTTGTTTGAATAGGCTTGTGTTCCTGCTCTTCTCATATGATTCATCTGTTGAAACTCGAGGGGATGTACATCTCAAAGCCCGATGTCTGAGAATTCCCTTCTATTAGATCAGCTAATTTCTCTGCTCTGCTGATTATCTAAGAGATATCAAAACCATAAAAAATTGATTTACTTTTAAGTTGCATAGGAGTGTCATATAAAGCATGCTATATGTTTTTTACTTCCTTGCTAGTTGTGCAGGTATGTGCTGTTTCCACATAGAAGATCATTAAGTTACTTTTCTATGTCACTCACCTAGAGTAGCACCTTTGTCTTTGCATGAGAAAGATAGTCACAAAGAACACTCATGGTATGCGAAATTAGACAGGTATCTTTTCTACTGGCAACTAGATGACCTCTCTCATATTTAATTGGAAATGACCAGTTACGTGTGTAGCGCTAATCATTCTGGGTAAGTTTGATATTAACGATTGAAGAGATAACGTGAAATGTATTCAGTCTTGAAAGAGATTTCAAGATTTATAGTCCAAAACAGATCACAGAGTTAGAATGTATTTAGAGCTAACTCTCCAGTAAAGTCATCAGTTGGGACACATAAAGTATATAGTTTCACTATGTTTGTTCCTAATAAAGATTGATCATTTTCATTGTACTTATGTATTCTGTCTTGTTTTATTCCTCACAAATGCAGTTAGTATGAGAATATATAACTATTTCTCAGTAAATATCTTGACGAAAGACCCGTTATTAAGCACACCTATCTTCATTATTTCTCAGGGGAAGCCAGATTTTTCTTGAAAATACCGCATAAACAACTGAAATTGTACTTCTCCCAAATTTATATATATATATATATATATAAAATATATAAATCTGTGGAGAATGGAACCCGAATTTTAGCATTGTAACTCCACAAATTTACCACTGGCCCACCAGCTGAAATATAAAATCTTTACTAAAAGATAAATGTGAAGCCCAATCAGTCATTTGTTTTGTCACTTGTCACTGAGTTATGTTGGTTTGGGAGAATTCCACCTCTCACCAGTAATCCTGGACAAGTGCAACTCGAAAGAATAAGACTAGTCTTCATATAGTGGTGTAGTGTATATTATAAGCATGGCGTTTTGAATATTAGATTAGACTTCACATTTATCTTTTAGTATATTCAAACAGCTTAAATTGTTAGGTTTAATAATTCACAAGAAAAGTGAGTAGCATCAACACTGAATATTCTTTAAATTCCTATATAAATATAGAATTACTGTGTAAGTAAAAGACATTTCAAAACCCCATACATACAATACACACTCCACGACTATATCAACCATATCAAAATCTAAGTCATTGGATTTATAGATCCCAGTTTTGCCATTGGTCTTATAAATCCCTGCCTCCTTGATCAGGTGGTCATTTATTGTTTGTCAACCAGTTAGCTTAGTTTAGTCTGACTTGACGTCACTTGCTATATCGCTTCCTTTATCGTTGTCGAACGTGGTTACCGATTCCTTAAGTATCAGGCACCATCCACCAAGTTATTATTATTTTTTCACGTTAATAAATAACATCAATCACGCATGGAGTAAAGGAAAACTGCCAAATTTTCGAGCACCCTTGACATTCTAGCAGAATACTTACTAAGTTTGCTTGCCTTGCCACTATATGAAGTATAGTCTTATCCTCTCAGTTTGTCATAGTCCAGAGTTACTGAGGAGTAAATTCTCTGAAACGGATATAACTCAACAACAAGTGATAAATCGAATGATTTTGGATTTGACATTTATTTATATATATATTTAGTATTTAAACATGTTGTCCGGCTAAATAATTCACAATAATAAATTAGTAGCATAGATACTGCGTATCTTTGAAATTCCTACATAAATATAGTATTGTTACGACAGCGGAAGTCACGTGACTCTGGTAACACGTGATGAGTATCTAGAAGATTCACAAAGAGACGAGTGCAATCTAGATGTACGCTTTTAAAGTATATAAGCCGGCAAATAAAGTGACGGTAAGAATATAATTGCAGATTGAATAGATAGAGACAGATAATCGAGTCAAGTCGTAAATAAAGTCGTGAATTTGCTCTAAAACAAAACAAAAAACTATGCATATAAATACTATACTCTAAAATACAAATACAAAACTGTGAAACTTGTTCACTTACGACGAATGTAAACAAGCACTGAAGCATTGGTGTTTGTTGAGTGTTTCTACATACAAGTCATAGCCCCCTCAGTATTTGTCCAGCTCATTGACTAAAAGTTGTCTTGTCCAAATACTTTGGTTGTGCAGAGGTAAGTCAGGCACAATCACCAGCAAATAGACAATAAGCCGTGTGCCGTTTTGTTGTTGTTGTTGTTGCCATTTTAGTTGAAACAGTACTGTATTTGTTTAGAAATTAAACAACTATGACTAACTTCTGTTTTTATTAGTCGAAGTTGACATATTCTATTCACACCCTGCCTGTAAACATATTTAAATCTCCTGAATTGTGGACATATTTAGTATGTTTAGCTTTACCCAAGAATACCGCAATGTAATAATTCACTGTTCTTGTATTGACCAAAATTTACTCAAAGACCATGACAGTGATTTAACCATCTGTATCACTAAGATTCAATCTGACAGTTTCCTTTGGAGAAAATTTAATTCCGTATTCGTTCACGTAATTCTCTGTCGATAAATGTGAGCCAGTTGCAGACCTTGAATCTTAACAAGTGCCCTATATGGACTAGGCTTTGAATATGTTCACCAGGTAATCTAAGAGAACCTGTTTTTACTTTGCATTGCACATTGTGCCCAGTCTGTTTATTCTTTGGCCTAAACTCAACCAGAAACTTTTAGCAGTGTGTTGGATATACAAGACTGTTTAGTTTAAGTTATTTTTTAGTTTATTTATTGATTCAATATTTAATGATTATTTAGTTTTCGTAACAAGAGTGTTAAAAATTAATTATTTTAAAAGCGATAGTTATGAGAAGTTTCGTTATGTAACTCTGTACAAGTCGTATATTATGTATGCAGTTTAATTGTATTAGGCTTTTGTAACATTATTGACGTCATCTTACTCAAAGCTTCTAAGTTTTCTCCCTTATGTTTAATATTGTTGTTACTAGAAGGCTGGATATTTCCAGAATTTTCTATCACGTGTTATAAATACGTGCAGATACAGAGAAGTAAGAAGTTAGTGAAAGGAAAGTTAAGTTAGTGAAAGTAAGACAAAGTTAGTGAAAGATATAGATGTAGACTGTGTTTGTAAGCTTAGCCACAAAAAGCGTATAGTAACGACTTTAAAGTGTTATAATCGCAGATTGTATTGTAATGAACAGGGTAGAGAAGAATAATTCATCTTGTCGATTGGATTCTAAGGTAACTGAACTAACCTGTGTAGATTTGTGACGTAAAAGAGATGTATTTAAAGCTTTGTATACAACTGTGGTAGCTACAGGGTAACTTAAGTGAATTTATCACTAATTATATTATGATAACAGAATAGAGAAGAATAATTTGTCTTGTCAAAGGGCGTTCTAAATTAATTGAACCCGCCTCTGTGAACTTAGACGAAAAATAGATGGTTATTTAAAGTTCTGGATACAACTGTGATAAACAATAGTGTAACGAATTTGTGTACATACGTTTGATTTGTTTTCCATATATTATTTTAAAACAAGTGGATTGTGTG